AGACTATAGACTAGACTATAGACTAGACTATAGACTAGACTATAGACTAGACTATAGACTAGACTATAGACTAGACTATAGACTAGACTATAGACTAGACTATAGACTAGACTATAGACTAGACTATAGACTAGACTATAGACTAGACTATAGACTAGACTATAGACTAGACTATAGACTAGACTATATTTAAGGAACTATAATAGATCATTGATCAGCCTGCTTTTTGCAATTGGAAGACTATTTAAGCAAATAGAGCCAATTTTAGGATTTTTATATAAAAATTGATTGGAAAGCCTCTTTTTCAAATTGCACCACCATTTAAGGAACTAAAGTAGATTTAAAGTTCTCATATAAAAATATGTAGATGTTTGGAAAATCAAGGTACTCTCTGATCAGCCTTCTTTTTGAAATTCAATCAATATTTTAGGTTTTGAGTGAAAGTTTATGTGATCACAGATAAGGCTTCTGTTTGCAGTGTGACTACCATCTAAGAAACTATAACCTACTCTAGGTTTTTCATAAAAAAATAAACAATTTTTGATGGAGAATTTAGCTAATTTCAAATTAGCAAAACCGTTATTAAATTTCTTATATAAATATATATTTCCCTGGAAAATAAAAGTAATTATAAAATTTTATTATTTTCTTTATTGATACTAAATTTTGTACATTTTATTGCTGCAAATTGCTGACACATTTTTAATCACAATAATAGCCTTCTATAACTTTTTCTTTATTGAAGTTTTTTTTTTGTGCAAATCTTACCTGTTAATCTAAACCACAATTTGTAACACAAAATAAAATAGTTTTTTTCCATTAATTATAAGAAAGCAAGAAGTCCTGTCATATCCTTAAGTTATAGACAACTTTTATTTGTAAAGAAACAAAACTATTATGCATTGTTTAACTCTAACAAACTTTCACATGACTTTAATGATTTTTTGTACTTCTTCTTTTATTCCCTATTTCTTTACTTCTTTGTTTCGTACTAGTACTACAAGTGAAAATCAAAACTAAAGTTTTCCAATTTGTTCTTATGTTTTGTTGTCATATTTTTTTCTTTTACTTTCAATTGCAAAATCATATTTGTGTAATATTTACCAACATTTTCACTTCCGAACCTTAACTGCAGGCCCATAATGGCAAATAGTAACCCAGTTTTTGCAGCAGCCAGCATTGATGATGCTGCCACTATTGCAGCCGCTGGATTTTTAACTAATGTTTAATGACGGCTGCAGCTAACAGCTGCTGCCTGCCATTCAACATAATCAACAGCAATAATATACTTTTTTAAAACTAAACTCTAAGCTGTCAACTTTCATTAAATACTAAACTAGTAAAATGTTTACGAAAGAAAACATTTCAAATTATTTCTTTCCATTTGTTTTTTCTTCTACTTTTTGTGAGTTTTTATTTTTGTTAAATAAAAACTATTTCTTGTTAGCATTGTGCATTGGTATGTGTTAGTAGTACATGAAAGGATTTCTTTCTTTATCAGTAGATGTAAGACACTGTAATATTTATTTAAGCCTAACAACAATTTAGTATGTGTGTATTTATTTTTTGAATTTATATTCATGATAACTTTAGAGCTGAATAGTGGTGGGAGAAAGCTTACAACACAAAAAAAAAAAAATAACAACAAAACTAGGGAAAATTATAAGGATGAAATGCAAATAATGGCAAAGGACATAGAGATAAATAGAAATGAAAACTATTATAGAAAATTGCAAAAGCATTTTAACATATAACTTCTCGTTATTACATTCATATGAGTGAGGGGTATGAGGCTTGTGTCTATTCTAAAGTGTTTTGTTTTCTATTTAAAGGTATTTAAGGCAAAATAAATTTGTGTCATTTTAAATTAATGTCTACACAAGAAATTAAAAAAAAAGGAAAAAAATTATATAAAAGACTACTTGAAGTGGTTTTTAGGAGACTACATTAAAAGTGATAAGATTGAGTTTGTTGTTTGAAACGTAACGTTTAGATACATATGGCAATGATAATGATTTGCATTAAAAATAAACAAAATTAAAATAGACATTTTTATCATGTTATTATTTCGATAGTTAAATGATGGAGGACTTTCCACCTCATCATTCAATTGATAAAGTGACCTCATCGTCTTTGTTGTTACCATCATCGAAGAAAGACCTTGAAATACGAAATCAATATGGAAGTTTTGCCTGAAATCTTTGAAAGTTTTAATGTCTTTGTGAACATATTGTGGATACAGATAATTTGAAAGCAATTTTGACCGTTAGGATCAAAGACAAATGCTTCGATTACTAAATCTGTATTGAGGTTTTAGCCGAAATCTTTGAATGCCGAGGATTTTGTTCATACTCACAGATGTGTTAAATCTGGTATGAACAGAGTAAATCCTGAACATACCTGGACAAGGAAAGTACAATGGTATCACCTGTATAAAATATTTTTCATCCATCACCATCCATCTTCTCATGCATTCGACGCACTCATAGATAACACATTCACTCTAGGTATACGAACGGGCAAGTTTCCTTATACCACTACATTCATTCTGTATCATATACACTTAACACCAACTCATTTTCTACGCTTAGTTCCACAGTCACTCCTCTGTGGGGTATCTGTTTACTCAAAACTTCTCCCGAATTATAGACTTACCGTTCATCAATCTTTTAACCGAATGGCGGTTAAAATACTTCCTCGAATTTGAGTTTAAACCACAGACACCACGTGCACCCCGAAGGGAGTCCTCCAATAACCGAGACAAGACAAAGACCGGAACTTTGTTCTGCGGGCTACCGGTTCCCATGGTACCAGATTATGCGGATCTCTGGTTCGACCCCATGTCAAATCATTCCAAGGAAAGATACATTTGATCATCACCAGTTTACTCAAAACTTTTCCCGAATTATAGACTTTACCGTTCATCAGTCTTTTAACCGAATGGCGGTTAAAATACTTCCCTCGAATTTGAGTTTAAAACCACAGACACCACGTGCACCCCGAAGGGACTCCTCCAATAACCGAGACAAGACAAAGACCGGAACTTTGCTCTGCGGGCTACCGGTTCCCATGGTACCAGATTATCTGGATCTCTGGTTCGACCCCATGTCAAATCATTCCAAGGAAAAGATACATTTGATCATCACCAGTTTATAGTCCCCTCAGACTAAAGGTCCCACAGTCACTCCTCTGTGGGGTATCTGTTGACTCAAAACTTTTCGCGAATTATAGACTTTACCGTGCATCAGTCTTTTAACCGAATGACGGTTAAAAGACTTCCCTCGAATTTGAGTTTAAACCACAGACATCACGTGCACCCCGAAGGGACTCCTCCAATAACCGAGACAAGACAAAGACCGGAACTTTGCTCTGCGGGCTACCGGTTCCCATGGTACCAGATTATGTGGATCTCTGGTTCGACCCCATGTCAAATCATTCCAAGGAAAGGATACATTTGATCATCACCAGTTTATAGTCCCGTCAGACTAAAGGTACTGTTAGCACCCATCTTTTTCTCGGGAGTGCAATCACATCAAAATGGGATTTCGTTCATCATCAAGGTAATATGACCCCGGGGATCTACAGAAAGATAATCGATTATGTCAATAGTGGAAGAATCTGCTTCGAATATTAAATCAGTATTGAAGTTTTTGCTAAAATCTTTAATATTGTGTAAAAAAATTTAACTGGAATTTATAATTTTTGTGTGGACTCAAGCATCAATATAGGAAAACCTATTCCTATTAATTAAAGACTGTAGGAAAGAGATATGATTGTTTAGGTCATTACGATCATCAAGGAAAGGCTACGAATACAAAATCTGTAGTGAAGTGTTCGGTGGAAGATCAAGATGGAAACAATTGGAAATTCAATTGATTAGCAATTTATAGGTTTTGTGTGGACCCGGCTTCAACACAAGCTAACATTTCTAATATTCATGGATAAGCTTGAATGATCTGCGTGAATCGGTAGAAATTTTGTATTTCATATTAATCTACTTTTGTTTCTAGTGAAGTGCTTATGAAATTCGTGTTAACTAACTGCAGATATTTTACCTATTTTAAGTACAAACGTCTGCTTTATTGCACTAACTTAAGAAGAAATAAAAAATCTATTAAATAAAATCAAAAACACTTTCACCATAATCATATTATTAAAATTACTCATACTTTAAAATCATTTATTTAGCACACCCCCTTAAACATACAAACTCTAACAAAAATGTCGCAAATAATTTGTTTAAGCAACATTTTGCAATCATCTCATGTACTCGGTATCATCACTTCTCATCATTATCAGCATCATTGTAGACTTTTTTATACAAGTTTTATATGATGTTGATGTTTTTACTGTTGTTGTCAGCATCATCATCGTCATCAGCAGCAATCATCAGCCTGACATTTACACAAATCGAATTTTTTTGGCAAAAATTGAACTAAAATTCAATCATAACAATTTATTTACGCAAACACTTAGAAAGTCACATACACTAACAGTTGATGACAAGTAATTAGTAGTAATTTGTAATGATGCTCAAAAATTAACATCAAACGTTTTAATAAACAAATATTAAAGTTTCTTTTTTTGCCTTTTAAAAGCTTTGAAATTGTCTTCAATATGTAACTTTTTAACTTAGATTCCTAAAAGTTCCTAATTAGTTTCAAACTGCTGTTTCTATTGGTACGTGCATGTATATTTACAACCCAATTGAATGCACTTTATACACTTAAAAATTACTTTCATACCCTTCACTGCTATACATGACAAAGTTTTGTAAAGTTACAGACTTTCATTGCAACAACATAGAAATATTTCTCTTAAAATTTGATTTTTCTAATTACGAAATTAATTTCAAAGTTTCACTAATTCGGTAAAGAGGAATTCATTGGAAATAGTTGATTAACTGGTTAATGTTTTTTCCTGATTAAATTTTTTCTATGCATCTTTTTAAATAACAACACTTTGGAAAATTTTAAAATATTAAGTTTTTATTCTTAGTTTTACATTAACTTTTATTCCGTTACTTCCTCCAATACTTCGGCTTGAAATATTTCAGCAGCTGGTACGGCAACTGGGACCATATCGTCATTTTCGAAATTATCATCTTCCATATCCGAATAATCTTCTCCCATGAAAATGCCTCTTAACCATTTGTTATAACTGCTGCTAGGTTTACCATGATAATGATAATTGCCATTATTATTGCTGGTATGATTGTGATTATGATCATGATAATGACCAGGACGAGGATTGTACATAACATATTGGGGATGGCCATGACCATGACCGTGTCCATGGCCGTGACCATGCATAAATGGCTTTTTAAAACCTAAAGCATCTATTGGTATCAAAGAACCTTTAGGTCCTAAAATATAAATACTATTATGACCAGAATGGTAAGGACGACGTGTAGTTGTGGTACGCCTTGTTGTGGTGGTAGACGTTGTAGCAGCGGCAGCATTACCAGCGGCTGCAAACAATTCATAAGCATTAGCATCTGTAACTGGTACTAAAACTCCATTAGGTCCCATCAAAAATAGACCATTATTGGGTTGTGTAGATTCAACTCTAAAAGTTTGTGTTGGTGGTGTAGTCTGCTCTTGGTTATGCTCTTCATGTTCAAACATGCGATGTATTTCTTCTTCATCGAAATCGTCACCTATAAAATTAGGTTCACCATCTTCGTCGGTCAAAAAGAACTCGCCAGCTATGACAGGATCTCGCAAACGTCTAACAACGCAAAGACATTTGCCTGGAGGACCAGCTTCACCAGATTCTCCAAAGGTTGGGGGTATACCGGGTATAGGAGCATCTCGCCCAGCTTCACCAGCACCGCCCCGATTACCTTTGGGTCCTCTAGGACCTGTAGGACCTTGATCACCTCTAAAACCCGGTTCACCCTTTTGTCCTGTATCGCCTTTTCTGCCGGTATTACCTTTAGGACCAACATCACCTTCACGTCCCGGCAAGCAACCACAATTTGTACTGCCCGCCGAACAAGTGTGTATAAGAGCTCCTGATTGTAAAGAAAAGAGAACAATTTTTAATATATACGTTTTTCGGATTTGAAATTTATTTGAAACCTACCCAACAGAGCTGTTGCTAGTAAGAAAAATTTCATTTCTGCTGCTCTATACAGTCATGAACAAACTAATCTTGTTTGTATGTTAGTCAAACTATTTATAAGAATTTTAAAATGTTTATTTTTGTTACGGGTCAATTTATGCCGTTAGAACTATACTCTTTTCAGTGTGTTTTATGGTTATTTACAACACAAAGTTGTAAAGAATACTAAGATGCAGCACGATCAATTAAATCTAGTTTATGCCTGCTGCTTTTATTTTGTATTTATTTTTCTTAAGCTTTATTGTTGTTGTTAGTTATTAGCATAATTTTGAAAAATTATCTTTTAATTCTTCTTAACACATTAACTTTGATAAAACTGTAAAGATTGTTATGTTTGAATTAAGATTTTGTACTGATTGGAAAATTATTGAATGAAAACTAGTATTTTGGAAGTTCTAAAGATCGACATCAGGATTAGTTTAGCTGATTCCGTGCTTTAGAGGGATGTTTGTTCCATTGGATTTAGTCAGAGTTTGCGTGACTATGTCGTTAATCAAGGTAGAACATTAGATGTTTGTTCACAGCACATATAGTTCAGGCCTTTCGGTAGATGTTGGTGCCTTAGGTTTGTTCGCATTTGGTTTTCGGGTGTGGAGCTTTTCGTATTTCACGTGAACTCTGGTAAATCGCCTACCTTCACTTCACTCGTTAGGATCTACAGATCCATGCTCATTTTCAGTTAAGACCAAGGGTACCTAATTTAATAGTAAGTTATCGTCCATTTCATGGTCAAGCATGGTCAGTAATCGGACATAAAGAGTCCACGGCATTACCTACTGCTTAGCAATATGCGCCTTCAAAACTCCGCAGCTCTTAATATATATAGATTTTACACTTAACTGCCCATTTTCAGTTAAGTCCAAGGGGACCTATTTCCCATTTACGCATTGCTGTTCATACTATGAAATGGATGACAACCGAGATTACGTTTTTGAAGTAGCGTTCGCACTAGAACATCAATATTTTTCTTTGTGGGCAGAATGAGGATCTTCATCAATCATGGTTGGTCTTAGGACTCCAATAGGCCCTAGAATCTCTCGATAATTCCCGTCCGTTGTAGTTTTAGTAGTAATCACAACAGTTTTAAAATACAAAATAATTTTATTATGCATCAACCGCTATGCTTCCGTTATGAGAACAAAAGGAAATACCGTTAGATCTAATACGGTCAAAGTTTACATATGTATAATTCTATCAAACGGTACTTTTCAAGAATCTTTCAAATGTTCTAACCTAGTTTTCATGTACAAAACAGTTAAGTCAAGTAAATCATGTATCACCTCCCATTTAATATGTAAAAGTATTTACATTATATAATCTTCTAAAATAGTTTAACTTCACATTAATCTCAATTTCCCAAAGCTGCATTATTTCATTGATACAGCTTTACATATCTTTTCATTCCATAAAATCATTTGTATTTAAATATGTCATAAATTTAAATATAATAAAATGTCTGTCGTCTTATATTAGTGTGTGCATTCTATTCTCAACTGCATTTTGATAGAATTAAAAAGATCAAATCTAATTAACATATTTATTGGTAGCATAAAGAATAGAAAAGTAACACTTTTCTTTAGAATGAAAATCTATACCAAAACATTGAGATATCTTTACCAAAGTGCTTATAAAAACTATCTACGAAAATTGTTTACAGTTCAAATGCCTAACGTAACTCAAAGAGTCAACATACATGCATTTATAGTTTAAAGAAATGAAAATCTTATATGGTTTCTTAATTTTCTTAGGTAAGTTCTTAATTTTCAAATAAAATTTTAAATCTTACTACAATAAATTAGTTTAATTTTATTTTCCCAATTTCAGGTTTGAGTTATTATGCTCAGGCTATGATGAAAAATTGCATATGTGAACCAGGACCTCCTGGTGATCAAGGTCCCAACGGAGATCAAGGACCGAAAGGCTATAAAGGCAGTCAGGGTAATCGTGGTGATACAGGTCCTGCGGGTCCAACTGGACCTAAAGGTTTCACCGGCAGTAAAGGTGCTCGAGGTGCTGATGGTGGTAATAGAGGTCCTAAAGGTCCTCGTGGCCCTCCTGGTCCCGATACACCTTGTCCACCAGAATGTTTACCCAATCCCAGATCATTTGTTGGACGTAGCATTGATTCTTTTGAACCTCATACTATATATAAAGTCACAAAAGAAGGTGAAATGCAGCCGATACGGAAACTACAACCAACACCGGCTTTGCGTGCCATTATGGAAATGATAAAGGCTGAGAATTTAAAAAATTTCGTAGATGAGGATGATTTTTGAAACTAAAAAAGGCTGTTTAGAAATTATAAATAAATAATAAAAATATTTAATAAAAAATATAAAGGATTTACTTTTTATTTGCGGTTATTTCAGGTGAATTGTGGGGATGGTAGTTTTTTTTATTCAGTTGAAAAGTTGTCTGTTCTAGGTAATGTCTCACTTTAATGATTGGACAGTCTTCTAAATTCTCTATATTGTTTTATTATGTATTGTAAATATTAGGGAATCAAAAGTTCCGCTGGACTGAATACATTTTCAAGTGTCAAAAAGCATACAAGTGTGTAAGTAATACTTCACTCCATCTGATCTTCTTACTGTTTATACCACTTATTTTCGACCAAAAACGGAATACATCACCCATGTAGGGGACCGGTGCTTTAAAGTCTGTATTGGAGCTACTCGACCGCGTACAAGAGGGTGCAAATGTACTTATCGGTGAGAGTAGGGTATCCAACTCTATTGATTCTCTGAAGCACCCTTGCAATGTTGGGTGTGTTCCACTATTCTGTTCGTATGTGGAATAAACTGTACTGTCTATATGTGGAATAAACTTTCACCAGAGGTTTGTCACTTGCGATGTCAGCAAATTGGAATCGAATACCTATATCTTCTCTACCCTAACCTTTTTTCCTATTTTCATTACAATGCAGTGCATGACTAGGAGTCATCCCCTGAGTGTAGGTCCTAAGGAAGAAAATTAAATATATTTAATATTAATGTTATTTTTATTACAAAATTGGTTGTTATATAAAATCAGATCAGATTACTGTTTTTAACAGAAACTTCTAACTGCGGAATGCAATAATTGCTGCAAACCCCATTGATATTAGAGTAAATACTATTTATCGTACAAATGGTCGTATTAGTCCTTTGATTAACTTCGAGATATACATAAATAGCTTTATCTTTTCAAATGAACGTTGACTTCTATTTAAGATGTTATACAGACACGTCTTATAGATAAGCATACCAGAACCGAAATATTTTTAGCTCAGTATTGCAAATGTCTTATTTTTGGCTTTGAGAACGCTACAAGAATCTTTTGATCTTTTTCATCATGATCCTCATTCAGAAGTAAAACTTTTCTGAACTGTAGGAGTTGAACTCGTGTGATTTTAATTTCTTTTGATTAACTCCGAGATATACATAAATAGCTTTATCTTTTCAAAAGAACGTTGACTTCTATTTAAGATGTTATATCTTCTGATCTGTTACATTAACATATTAAACATCTTTCTTTAATAATCATAAACGATCAAACATCTTGGATCTTTTCGCGATCATAACCCAAGTTTTGCTATTTATCCTATGCATGTTTGAAACATTTTAACTTTATCTAACTATAGTTAAAATTCTGTAGAAATCACAAGTTCTTCAAGTTCAATGCTACAATATGTTGAGAAATCTACTACCCAGATGCTCACCATCATGTGATCTCTTTTAGAACAAGCTATCTGCTTAAGAATTAGAAATGTTCCATAAATAATAAGTTGAAAGTAATTAATCTCCAAATCGAGTTTGTAAATAAAATATGAAATTATTTAGTATAATATTGTAAAATAAATGTTATTAACTGTAAAACAGATAACTCTCTATTTATTCTTATTCACTGTGTGCCCCTTAAAACTAAACAGGAAATTCTCCATAAAAATTCTTATAAACTCCAAACACAAATGAAAAGTTAATCTACATTTATGACAACTGCTTGTGTTACAAAAGTATTTGAATTTTAAGATGTCATAAATAAAATTCAATAAAACTGTCTATTTATAAAAGAAAAATCTAAGTGAAAATCTGAGATATAAAAACAATCAGAAGTGCATTTAACTAAAACTAATTTACATATTTATTTCTATAGAATCATTCTGTTTTTCCATTGTTAACATAGAAATCATCTTAACAATAACCGTTAGTCGAGTTTGTTAATAGTATATGAAGATATAGGTATAAATATCTAGTTTTAACTTAGTTTGAAAATTAGTTTACTATAAGAGTTTAAAGAGAAAACATCTAAGTAGTTTCTGAAAATGAAACTATTTTATGTAATTTTTGTATTTTTAGGTAAGTTTGTTGTGTTAAGAATCGAAGGTTGGGATAGTATTGTATTTTTCTTAATTTCCCACTAGGTTTGAGCTGTTATGCTCAGGCTGTATTGAAAACCTGCTATTGCGAGCCTGGCCCTGTAGGACCAACCGGTCCTAAAGGAAATACGGGACCCAGAGGTGATACCGGCACTACGGGTAATAAAGGCGTACGGGGTCCACAAGGACCCACTGGTCCCCAAGGCCATAAAGGTGAACCTGGACCAAAAGGCAAAAGAGGTATAGGTAGAGGTTTCCCAGGTCATGCTGGTCCCAGAGGTCCTGCTGGAAGTTGTACGCCTTGTCCTAATCGTGCAAAACGTAGCGCACGTTCTTACGAACCGAATAGATTGTATATGTTGACAAAGGAACGTAAATTGATACCCGTCGATAAAATACAACCAACAGCAGACTTGCTGGAACTTGTGGAACATCTTAAGAGCACGGATAAGTTAAGAGATTATGGAGATGGCGATAATGTATTGATTTAATAAAAAATGAAGGTTAATAAAAATTTGTTTTATATTTTAATGATTTGAAACTGTTGTGCTTTTTTGAATGAAATAGTAAATACATATTATGTTTAGCGTCTCACTTATTTTTTCTTAAGGTATCAGTTGTTTATAGTAGATTAGTAAGTGCATTTATAACGCCATAATGATAAGTTTCCTAACTAACTGTTTTTGGCTATAGTTTCGCTATTTAGTAAATTTTTATGACGTATGAGGCAAACTTTGAAAAACGTATTATCTTGAAAATATTCCTCGATTTGAACCTTTAATCCAAAACACTTGAAATACTACTTTAAAACTTAATTAATTCCAATAAGAAAATTTCTTTAATACTTAACAATTTCATTAATAACTTAATCTCAAACTTTTTAAACCAACAAATAACCTACCCCACCACCTTTGATAGAAATTTAAACAAATACTCTTATCTGTAGTACACATAAATTTTTGATTATTTATTTACAATTTTTTCTTATCTTAATACTTCAAAATTCACTTAAAAATACGTTGAAAGATTTTAGCTTTTAATCTTAAGTGGTCATTATTTAGAACCCTTAATTTCATCCTACGATATCACAAGCCTTTAGACCCTCACCAACACAGGCAGCATAGGCCATCATATGAGGTATGGCATTCTGTTCATACACACCTGTAAACAAATGAGACCAGGGACCCGAGGCAAAAACACCCACATCCTCACCACCATGAGTCTCAGAGTCTAAAGGCACTGTGGCTGGGAAGACATCATTAGGTTCACCTTTTATAACTTCCTCAGGATTAACACGTTTACTATTTTTAACATCGAAATGTTGATAATAACCTTCACCATTGGCATAACTCAAAGGTTCATAGGGTAATTGATCATCAGCATTTTTAACGAAACTGAAAATATCCGAACCACGATCTTGATAACCAGCCACACTAAAAGTGTGCGAATGATCTGCAGTCACCACAATCAAAGTATCTTCCTCACTAGTCATTTGACGAGCCAAAGCAATAGCTTGAGAAAATTCCTTAGTTTCATCTAAAGCCAAACGGGCCTTGGTATCATGGTGACCCATATCGATTCTGCCTCCTTCAATAAATAAGAAATAACCATTATCTTCTTGCTGTTGCATAAACTCTATGGCCTTCTTAGTCATTTCTTCTAAAGTAGGTTGGGTATTTTCGGGATTAGCTACAGCCTCCAAGTGATAATCCAAATGATCATCATTAAACACACCCAATAAACGTTCAGTTTGTGTTAAATCCAATGTCTCCAATTGTTCTTTGGTTTCTACCAATTTATATTTAGGTGATTGTTTTTGATATTCCTCTAGTAAATTACGGCCATCGGTACGCCAACCATTACTATAGAGGGATTTATCTACAAAAGCACTTTTTCCACCACCCATCATTACTTTAAGTTTAGAACCTACTTCGCCATATATCAACTGCTGGGCTATATCATCCAAACCATGATCTGCACCACAAACTGCTTCTATATCAGCATTACTTTCCCAATCACGATCGGCAGTATGAGCATAAACACCAGATGGGGAAGCATGAGTAACACGTGTGGTAGTAACAAAACCAGCCGATTTACCCTCATCCATGGCCCATTTGGCTATGGAGAAAACATGATTACTGGAGTTTTTCATGGCTTGACAATCATCTCTGGGAATGGCAGCATTAACACCGATGGTACCATAATTAGCCTTAACACCACACAAATAAGCCGTAGAAGTTGTGGCCGAATCGGGTACGATTTTATCTACCGAATAGGTTTTGGATAATCCAGTGTAGGGAAACTCTTCAAACGATAGTTTGGTGTGTTCAGCATTAATATAATTTCTGGCTGCTACCAGGGTGGTCAAACCCATACCATCACCCAAAAACATTATAATATTTTTAGCTACATTGGTATTTTGTTGCTGCTTTTTCTGTTGACGCACAAAATCTTTACCCATATTTAGCCAAAACTCATTAGTATCTTCTCCTTCACGAGCCACTAAGCGGATTCTAGCGTGCTTTTCTTCCTTAAAGCTAGGATGCATAAGTTCTTCGTCCATTTCTTCGTCGGAGTGGCCATGTAATGTACCCATTAGGGTCATTAAAAGTGTTAATGTTAAAATAGTTTTGATTGTAGCCATGTTGATACTAGTTAGTTGGCTAGCGAGCAACCAGCAACCGTTTCGTTAGAAAATTTATTTAAGACTATAATAATTTTTTCAAATTCAAGTAGCTTTAAGTAATGTTAGACGTTGTTTTTTAACGGCTGTCTTTTAGTGGCTGTCACTTAAACGGCGATAAGAACTGTGACATGGTATTAGCGTCAGTGTTTTAAATTATTGGTAAAAAAAAGTACTTAACAAGAAAGACAGATGCGATCCAATAGGGGACTTAAGAAAGGGGTCTAAAAGAGAAACAATTTTTCATTGTCTCAAAGGCATAGTTAATGTAGTTGTATTAAGGACGAATGAAAATAGACTATCAAATTCCATTCAAAGCCACGATTGCGGTCTTGCTGGGACTATACAAGAACGACGATCGAAGCTTTACTGGAGCTACCGTCATAAGAAACATGTTTAATAGTAAAAAAACATAATCATGGAGCAGAAATCATTATCGATTAAAGCTAAACTGTTGCTAAAAAGATCCACGATTGCTGCTGAACTGAAGTTATTGGAATCCATGATTGAACAGAAGAACTGAAACTACATGTCGCGCCCCTGTTTTCAGCACAACTATTATTTCAAAAATCCCCACATTTTTTTGTAAACTATTGAAAATTTTCATTTTAATAATTATCTCGCTGATAAGATGATAAGCATAGAAATCAGTAGCTATTACTTCATGTGATAAGATTTCAAATAAAAGTATAAATTTAATAAATATAACAAATCGCTTGCCAGTATTGTCTCAAAATCGCTACATTGCGGTCAGTTCCTCTCAAATAAAATGAGGTTCTTTATTCTATTGTCTTTACTCTGGGCTTTGGCCTTAGCCCATGATAAAGGACAACATCCAAATTTTCCCCGTCTGCGCAGTTTTGAACCATTAGGTGAAGAACAAACCACCGAATTTTGGATGAATAAGGCACAAAATATATTGGCACACAAATTGCAAAAACTTAACAATCTCAATACTAATAAAGCCAAAAACATTATTTTGTTTTTGGGTGATGGCATGTCAGTGCATACTGTCACCGCTACTCGGGACTTTTTGGGCGACAGCAATAAACAGGTGTCGTTTGAAAAGTTCCCCTATGTGGGGTTATCACGTACCTATGCAGTTAATAAAAGGACTCCCGATTCAGCTTCTACAGCTACTGCTTATTTGAATGGTGTTAAGGCTAATTATGGCACCATAGGTGTTAATGCCCAAGTACCCAAATATGATTGCTTCAAGGCCAACGATACCAGTACCCATACCGAAAGTTTAGCTAAATGGGCTCAAGATGCAGGAAAATGGGCCGGTTTGGTAACCACAGCAAGAGTAACGCATGCCTCTCCAGCTGGTGTTTATGCTCATACCGCCAATCGTGGTTGGGAATACAATGAAGCTATCAGAAAAGATGGTTGCAGTGATGATGTTAATGTGGACATAGCACGCCAATTGGTAGAATGGCCTGTGGGCAAAGAATTGCATGTAGTATTGGGTGGTGGCCGTCAAAATTTCCGTGATAAATCAGTGAATGATGAAGAAGGCTCCCCAGGCTATAGAACCGATAAAAGAGATTTGATTGAGGAATGGTTGCAAGAGAAAAAACAAGAAAATAAAACAGCTAAATATGTGTGGTCGAAGAAGGGTTTGGAAATGGTAGATATGAGTAAAACCGATTATTTGTTGGGCTTATTCAGTGCCTCACACTGTCCTTACCATGGCGATTTGAAGAGAGAGCACTTAGAAAATGCTGATCCCTCTTTAACAACCATGACCGAAGCGGCCATTAAATTATTAAGTAAAAATGACAAGGGCTATTTCTTATTTGTGGAAGGAGCTAAGATCGATATGGCCCATCATGCCTCTAGAGCTCATAAGTCTTTAGAGGATACTGCTGAATTTGCCAGAGCTATAGAATTGGCGCGTAATTTAACTAGTGAAGAAGATACTCTAATAGTGGTGACCTCAGATCATGCTCACACCATGACCATTAATGGTTATCCGGTAAGTTATTGAGAAGGGATTCCTAGCTAAAGCTTTTCATAATTTTCTTTTCTTAAAGAATCGCCGTCAAAACATATTTGGTTTAGCTCCTACAAACGCTGACGATGGCTTGCCCTATACCATTTTATCGTATGCCAATGGTCCCGGCTATTCCAAAACTTACTCTTCCAAAAAAGGGCGTCGTGATTTATCTGATGCTGATTTACAAAATCCCTCTTATCGTTATATGGCCACAGTACCTTTAGACTCTGAGACTCATGGAGCCGATGATGTGGGTGTTTTTGCTTCCGGTCCCTATGAGCACTACTTTACAGGCAACTATGAGCAAAGCAATATACCCGCTTTAATGGCTCATATTGCCAATATTGGTCCTTTTGCTGAGGATAAATTGTAAAGTTTTTTTTTCCTCTACACAAATTCTTTAAGTGTACATGAAATCCTATGTAAATATTAGCAATAATAAACAATAGTACTAAGAGTTTACCATGTCTGTGTTAAGTTTTAATAAAACTATACAAGTGTTTACCAAAAACTTGAAGTGTGTTTGATTTTTACCTGTGGTTATTTTGTTAGACAATTGTGTTTGCTGTAGAAAGCCAAGGCAAGAAGATATAGTCTGTGTGGTTAAAAGCAAGCAACTTTTCGAAGAGTTTTAAAGATTGTTGGTGAAGATGGGGAGGGAAAAAAAGTCTTGTGTATATTTGTTTATTTTAGATCTGGTCAAATGTCAATGGTGTCAAGTATTTTGTGTTAGTTTGGTTTATTTCTTTGAAGTGTTAGATGTGATAAGAAAAAGAAAAAAAACTAGAAGTCAATATTGATGCCAGTTGTAAAGCCTTAGGGCAGTAGCTAAAGAGTGGTGGATATATTTATT